CTTGCTTGACCCAGGTAATGTTCTGCCAGAGATGGGTTCGGGGAAAAGAAAAGCGTGTTTTTTGGGGCACGTCCGTTGGGTTACTTGGATGGGTATCACCGCGGAATTTGTGAGTAGCGGCGCAAAACCGAGTCCATTCAGTCACGTCTTTGTCGTCCTTTGGTAGAGTTGACTTGACGCTTGCGTTGTATCGAAACAGCCCGGGATCGAATCTCGGTAGTAAATGCACACTCGTTGATGAGTCCCTTTCTGCATTCTGTTGGGGTTTCTTCTAGACTCGATTATTTACTATAATGATACATGCATATATATATATATATATATATATATATATATATATATATATATATAAAAAATATAGTTTTATGGTGTGCTATATTTATGGGATAAAGTGTTCAGTATCAGATATAGAACGTATGTAAACATAAATATAAAATGAACATTGAACTCAAATCTTTTTAGAGGCGACAGGCTGATTCATGCGAGACGCAATCATCAGGCGGCCTGACGATTGCATCTAGCATGAAACACCCTGTCGCCTCTCAGTGATGACTTCAGTATTCACTTTTTATATATATATATATATATATATATATATATATATATATATATATATATATTAAGACATTTTTGTGTTTATACATTTTATAGATACATATATTTAAGTAAATGCTGTTTATAGTAAACTAAACAGTATTAAACAACATTTACTGGCTTGAATGTCCGAGAAATTTTCATAGAAAATATTCGTCCTCCGACAGGAATCGAACTTGTATCCTATACGGAAAACAGAAAAAAACAACTCCGGGAATAAAAAAGAAAATTTAGCGAGAGTGTATGTATGAGAGTGTGGGACGAATGTTAGAGTAAATGAAAGCTATAGAGAGGGGTAACAGACGAGAGAAGAACAGGAAGGTCTAAAGATGAAGGGGGGGATTAAAATTTAACAGAGAGAAGTTTTAAAGAGGGGAGTCAAAGACGGTTTAAGTGAGAGAAATATGAATATTCTCGGATGTCTAATACATTAAAGATATACCGGAAAAGATACATTTTGTGGTAACCTACACACAAAATAGATGATATCATTTTAAAGATCAAAAGATGAGATATAATAAAAAGGCTAACCCGGAAAGTTAGGTTATCAAGCAAACGTCATACCAACTGTACCAACGGGCCTCAGTGACGAAGAGGTTGCAAATCAGACTCGAGATAGCGCCGCTCGCTCACATATATATATATATAAAAGAAAGAGGTTGTAGTGGCTCCAACGAGAGAAAAGTATGTATATTAAAAAGAAGAGAAGAGAGGTGCCACAAACGTTTTCGGTTGTAATGTGTTTTTTTTAGAAAAAATATTATGCTTTATTTTCCATAATTTTACTACACGCGTTTCTGGTCTCGTGACCGTCTTCAAGTAAAAGCGGAGATTTCCACATATTATTAAAAATAATTAATTTTTTCCTTATGTTTTTCACTGTTAAATATTCTCGATATGAGACATTCTCTGTTTTTGTGTTAGTAATCCGAATGTCTTTTTTGAATTGGCAATGAAGAGTTTTGCGCGATGTGTCATAAAACAATTAAGGTTGATCCAAGAAAAATAATGAATTACTTATCGGCATTTTATCTTTTAATGTTTTACTGTCCCCTGTGCGTTCTTAGATCTGTTTCCATTTTTGTGTGTTTCTGTCAGCATGCGTGTATATATGCGTGCGTATATTCCCCCTCCGTACATATACTGTTTTACTATGAGGAATTAGTAAACTCATTTGTACACATTTCTAAAAAAAACACATTACAATCAAAAAAGGGTTGCGGCACCTCTTCTCTTCATATATATATATATATATATATATATATATATATATATATATATATATATATATATATATATATATGTATTGGGCAGTCTTCAGATATGAAGATTTTTTTTCAAACCTGAATTAATTTGGTGCTTTTTATGGAAGTGGAAGGAAAAAAATTTCGTCGGAACGCTACTCATACGTATGCAAAATATGAGTGACAAACTTGCATAAGTATTGAGTGGCGTTCCGACAACAATTTTTCCATTCACTTGCATAAAAACACCGATATACGCAACCAAATATAAATCCAAAATTTAAAAATTAATCAGATTGTCTGACGATCACAAATAGCGTGAAACCCAGGGTCACAACCTCACATCAATCCAACTAAATATGTTAGCTCTATCTCTGATATTGAGCGCTTTCCAATAAGTACCGCGCATATATAATACATAAATAATATATATATATATAAATTGCATATATATATATATATATATATATATATATATATATATAAAAGTGAACATTGAAGTCAACACTAGACGCAATTTTCAGGAGACGTTTGCGTCTAGAATGAAAGACTGGCGCCTCTAAATGTTGACTTCAATGTTCACTTTTATATTTACACACGTTCTATCTCTGATATTGAGCACTTTATCCCATAAATATAGCACACTGTAAGAGTACATTTCTTCATATATATATATATATATATATATATATATATATATATATATGTTATTAGGAACTTTTTATTAGACTAACTAATTTATAAATGCGTTATTTGCCCTAAAAAAAACGGGACATATCGATCAATTTGCTTTATAACTCAAGGTACAAAGTTCCAAACTTTAAATGAAAGAATTCTTGGCTGGGTCAGCCTTTTTAGGTTGTCTACTGCCTAACTATCCTTTCTTTCTCTTTTTCTCTCTCTCTGTCTCTCTCTGTACACTCATACACACACACATACATATATATATATATATATATATATATATATATATATATATATATATATATATAACGGTTCACTCTGTTTACTACTAACCATCCATACTTTCCTCTATGTCATCGTTTTAAAAGTGCCTGTCAATTTTCTCCATTCACCTTCTTCTCTCTGCCTGTCAATCTAATATATCCATCCGGAGTATTGTCTCCAATTAGTAAGAGACTTTCGTCTTAAAAGTGATTATCTCCGATATTCACGAAATAAATTATAACTAAAATTAATGTTTAACGTTTTTTCGTGTGATTACATATATATATATATATATATATATATATATATATATATATATATATATATATATATATATATACATATATGATGAGAACGAAAGTAATATATCAATTCCAACGTTCACAGCATTAATCCAAAAGAGGGCTCGATACCGATAGTAGAGCGATAATTATCATATAGACAAAAGATGCAACTTTGTTTCAGTGCATTTCAACTGCAATTTCAATTGGTGAGAATCGAAAATCTCGTCGAAGTGCAGTTGAAATGCACTGATACGAAGTTAAAATGGTTTTGTAGTGAGATAAAATGGTTTTATATATATATATATAAATATATATATATATATATATATATATATATATATATATATATATATATATATAACCTTAAAGTGATCTGTTTTTATTCAAACATATTTGCTCTGAATTTACATTGAGCTCTCTGGGTATCATCCTCATTGGGTCGACCCATACGGATTACCTAATTTTTATAAACTAATATATATATATATATATATATATATATATATATATATATATATATTAACAGATGTAAAATATGGTAAAATTTATATTTTAAATCAGTTAAATCATTTAATTTATAATATTTACGCTCTGTAAATTTACATTGAGCACTGTTTTGTAAAAATAAATATATCAATAAGATCACCGGATTATATATCTTACTGTTCTTACTTTTTTTACTGTAATATATATATATATATATATATATATATATATATATATATATATATATATATATATATATATTAAAAAAAAGAGAAGAGAGGTGCCGCAAAAGTTTTTGGTTGTAATGTGGATTTATTTAGAAGAAATATTATGTTTTGTTTTACATAATTTCACGACACGTGTTTCTGGTCTCGCGACCGTCTTCAGGTAAAAGTGGAGATTTCCACATATCATTAAAAATAATAATTAATTTTTCCTCATTTATATATATATATATTAACAAATTTACACATACCTACGGAGTGCAAGCTAGTTTTTCTTTGTTTACCCAACTTGTGGAATTTGGGTCGCACACTAAACGTAGGTATATGTGTTAGGTATTAGTATATATTTCCTGGCTCTGTCTAACCACACCGATCACTCTTATATCTACATATGGTATATGGTTGCTTATATTGAGTTATTTCATTTGTATAAACCTATATATATATATATATATATATATATATATATGTATGTATGTATGTATGTATATACGAGGGACAGATACATGATTAACCAAAATAGAAACAGTTCACGTTTCTTTCCTAGAACGAACGTTTTTAGAGTAATAAAGATTTTCTTGAAGAAATCAGACTTACACAAAGGAATGGATTGTGAATGTGTTTCAATCCTATGGAATTATTAATTTTCTTTTTTTATAATTTCATCCCGAGTAAGGCAAGTGCGAGTATGAGAGATTAAGAGAAAAAGTAAACGTTATAAAAGACAAAAACAAAAAGAACACAACCAGAACCAGAATTAAGAAGATAAACGAAAACCATTGTGATTGCATTTAATTTGTTGATGATCAAAGCTGATAGGAAATCAGTGAATCAGAAGAGATTCCTCCAAATGAGAAGTGCAAGAAAAGAAACTGTTTACACAGAATTTAATCTTATATCTCAAATAGAGAAAGACGGTCAAATACAACAAAACCTGTTTACTGATTACATAGAAAATTTATTGGTTTAACATTTAAACTTAAATCAAGGCGTCTGAACAACTCGCCAGCGATGAAATTTCATTACATTGACCATGTCTTCAGGAGTATAGCCGTACTTAGCACGCTGGCCTATGGCGGGTTGGTGAAGCTATTTAACCCATAGTTGGAGGTTTTCAATTTAGAGTTGTCCTATTCCTTCATCTATAGAGGATATTACTATATTCAGTCACATTACAAAGAAAAAAAATGCACTGAATGTATTGTTTTGCAAAAAGATTCCTACACGGTTAGTGTAACATTCGTATAACATAGACAGCGAAAATTCTGTAAATGAAAATGCAACAGAAAGAAAGAAAAAAGAAAGAAAATGAAAGAAGGAATAGATAGATAGATAGATAGATAGATAGATAGATAGATAGATGTGCACACGCTGATATATACATATATTTATATATATATATATATATGTGTGTGTGTGTGTGTGTGTATGTATTTATATAGATAGATAGATATGAACTGACTGAGATAGATAGATAGATAGATAGATAGATAGATTGATAGATAGATAGATAGATGTGAATATAGATGGATAGACAGATAGATATGTGCAAACTGAAATAAATATGAACAAAGTGAAATAGATAGATAGATAGATATGAACAGACGGAGATAGATAGATAGATAGATAGATAGATAGATAGATAGATAGATAGGTGGATATGAACTGACTGAAATATATATATATATATATATATATATAGATATATAGATAGATAGATAGATAGATAGATAGATATGAACAGACTAAGATAGAGAGATAGATATGAACTGACTGAAATATATATATATATATATATATATATATATATAGAGAGAGAGAGAGGGAGATAGATAGATAGATAGTTAGTTAGATAGATATGAACTGATATGAATATATATATATATATATATATATATATATATATATATATATATATAGATTTAGATAGATAGTTAGATATGAACTGACTGAAATAGATAGATAGATAGATAGATAGATAGATATGAACAGACGGAGATAGATAGATAGATAGATATGAACTGACTGTAATATATATATATATATATATATAGATAGATAGATAGATAGATAGATAGATAGATAGATATGAACTGACTGTAATAGATAGATAGACAGACAGACAGACAGATGAATGAGCGTTTAGAAAATGTATGAGCAACAGTTGTAACTATTTGGAAAATAGTGTATTTTTAGCTTAAAACTTGCTCTGCGAGATATTGTTACTGTGCACTCCCTGTCTTTTGAAAGTTCCTATGGAAACGAATAGGAGGCATTACTTTTGGTGCATCAGTGTCTATTTTCTACAACTTCCAATGTTATATGTCTTTTTTTTTTGTTTTCTTTTTTTCTTTACTGTTTTTCTCTCTTACTAAAACTGTTGACAATATGACGGTCTTCAGACTGATTAATGTTGTTCAGTTCTCGATGTCGAGTCCTTCGCATAATTTATGAACAGTAAAAGTGCACGTGTGTGTGTGTGTGTGTGTGTGTGTGTGTGTGTGTGCAAATTAAAGAAACTGAACATTTATCGTAGAAAGTACCACGAAAATAGAATCTAATTTGAAAGACGGGAATTGGTAAGAACCTTCGGTCGATTTAAGGTATGCTGTACATAAAAGAAGCTTTTAGGGAGAAAGCTTTGAACGCTATCCGACCATTTTCTACCCTAATTACAATCTTCGACTTAACCCAGCTATTCAAGAGAAAAGACCTAATCGAAGCATCGAGTTCTTTTGCTGCACGGCAACGCCCGCCCTCATATCGACAATATGACCAAGGAAGCCATTCAAACGTATGACTGGGAAGTACTGCCACACGCGCCGTACTCTCTCCGATTTGGCACCAATATATATATATATATATATATATATATATATATATATATATATATATATATATATCAAGTATGTGGTGCAGTTCAATTTATATTACATGAATCATTCATACAAAAAGAGATATTGAAGTTGTTGTGGTAGGATCCATTTAATTTGCATAGTGGAGTACCGACCATATAAATATGGTTGGTACTGGAAGAGGGAGGAATCAAGAGATTCAACCAGAGACTCTGCATGACTGCGACTCAGTCAACACATTCTCCAGGAACGGTCTTACCAGGAATATACAAAAGACTATATGTAAATATTGTGTACACTTTCTTGTTTCAATACATTTTGTTCTCAGTAGCTTTTGTGTTGCATTATTATTCCATGCATTAGTCAAGTTTCAACAGAAGTTAATGATATAAATGGCGAGAATACATCTTCGCAAACAAATTTAATAAATTACATTAACCCCGAACCTGTAGATGAATTTTATGATCCTTGTTTATAATTTCCAATATAATTTTAGAGCGCACGAAGATGTATTCTCGCTATTTATATCATTAATAATAAGTGCGCATAGATCTTCAAGATTTGGGCAGAATATTAGATGATTCATAATTCACGATTGCCCGCATTGGTAGTTGGGATCAGCATCGGTGGCAGATTCCCATTTCATGGTTCTAAGGAACCAATAGTTGATCGGATGCGATTCAGGCAGGACAAGACTGTCCAGGCATCAATGTAGCCAGGTGAGAGGGATTCTTTAGGGCTGAGAAAGAGAGAGAGCCTGTGTCACACGCTGTTAAGGTGACTTCACCACAGGGACAAACACAGACTAGGAGCTTTCGACACAAAAATACTGATGAAGAGGAGGGCTATGTTGATGATATGCTATGGTTAAACATATGAGGGTTTTGGAATAGTAGAACAGTTCTGTGCGGCAATGTGTACGACTCAAACTCTACGCCTCGAGGCACATTTTGAAACAACCGTAGATCAAATATGGATCGTGTTATGGGGTTCACCCCTTTTCGGATATAATGGACTCGTACTGCTGCCATAAAATAGCCACAGTCGGGCAGAGAAGATGAGTCATACAAGGGTCGTACAAGAGTCGTACCGGAGTCGTCTGTGAGTGTCGGTAGTCGGATGGAGTGAAGTAACCTCTTGTAGAAGTCAGTTAGAAGCACGTAGACTCTAAGGAAGTCCTACTTCGAGACTGTATATATCTATCTGTATTTGATACTAACCGGCGTTCCTGGATTTTACTAACAGCATTACGTTTTGTATTTTGTGTAAATACATTTAATTTCTTAGCTTAAATATTTGCGTTTGTCATTTATTGGATACCTATTTTTCACGCGGGATCCACAACAGATCGGAATGGATATGGATACATTTTCCTTGTTCCTGAGCATTTCCAACAAAAATAATAAATATTGATATTATAATTATTATTATCATTATTATTATTTATTACATTGTTTATTTACACTAATTGTTAGATTGTTTATTGGAACGGTTGGAAAATTGATTCGAAATTTAGAAAATGGTAAATAAAGGATTTCCTTATAGTCGGTTTGCATATTTTAATAATTTAGATATGAAGAAAAAAGAAAATTCTTGTATTTTTATTTTTGTGCTGTTTGATTTTCATTGGTTAAGCAGGTTTCATGTACAGTTGACTTGTCAAGAAACGTCCGTGTGTATAATTCATGGCGTTCTGAAATCAAGGCGAGATGATGCGTATAAAGATCATAGTGAATTGGTATCAAATATAGATGAAATAATCAATTGCGTCAAGCATTAAACATCCTGTCACTTCTAACTGTTGACTTCAATGTTCATTTTATATTTACACACGCTCTATCTCTGATATTGACCACTTTATCCCATAAATATAGCACACCTTAAGAGTCTATTTTTTCATATATATATATATATATATATATATATATATATATATATATATACATATATATATATATATATATATATGCATGATAAGATAAAGAACAGATAAGAAACGTTTATCAATTTTAAATGTTTCACAACGAAGCGTTCATAAAAATGGAACTTTAGATTGATAAAATGGGCAGACATGATGAAAAAGTGTCGCAAACTTAATAAAAAACGACGATTTATCGTGGAAATCATTATGTTGTTAATAAGAGGGAAAAGATGTGTTATTAAATTAAATATTTAATTCTTCAAAATTTTGCTTGAATTTTTTTTTTTTTTGCGTCAGTATAGTTTAGGAAATTTTAACGTCTTTTTGCGGTGAAAAACATACTGATTTAGAAATTCTTGCAAAAATCAAATGATTGTCGGATTTTATTAAAACTTTCAAGACTTATGGAGAGAAAAGGGAAATCACCGCCCTCTGTTGGGATCAGGTTGAAATCATAGACAAAGAACATCATTGGAAAATTTGTAAATTTAAGGAATCAGCATATATGCTGGGCCACAAAATATCCTGAGTCGACCAAACGTAGAAATGAATACAATATGGGAACCAGTAATAAGGAGTGCCAGAGAAAAGCGATAATAACAACGAATATTGCATTATGAGCTCTGGTAAAAACATGAAATGATAACAGTAAATTTGCAATATGAGCACTGGTAAAAATGGTTACTGAAGACATTAATTTTATAAGTCCCTGAAATCCATGCATGGATTTCTTTAAGGACACATGGCACAGTGGGTAAAGGCGGTGGTTAGAACCAGTGACAGGACGCAAAGAATGTGAGTTCAATACCCGGTTAAGGCACTGGTGAACTTGGAGAGGGGAATTAATAGGAAAGAATTGACATCCATTAGACATAACTTGTTCGTTTTTAATCTTTTTTTTTTTTCAGATTATAGAGCAGTGGTTCCCAATCGATTTTGGGCAATGCCCCACTTTAGTATTTCTCAAATTTTAGTGCCCCCCGCCCCCGTATGTAATATTTAACACATTTAGAAGGTCTGCTCTTCTCTGATCGCCTTAAACCAGAAATCCATCATCATCATATTCAATTGGAACAATTTTATTCTTTTACTTTAAACAAACAAAACACTTAGGGTCTAATTTGATCATTTCCTTTCAGTATTTTCTTTGATATGATTTAAAGAAGTGGCTCTCAACCGATTTTTGGTCACGCCCCAATTTGGTATTTCTAAAATTCTGGTGACCCCCAACCTGTAATATTTTATTCTCACATATTCAAAATTTTACTACAATTCGCGTGAAGGAAGCTTAAAAGGCCATGAACTTGGTCTCTAAACAAGCCGCCAAAGACCATGGCGTCCATGGAATAGAAAAATTAAACAAACAAAAAAGTCAGTTACATATATATATAGTTTCAAACCATATAATAGAGAACTGAAAGGCTTATTCTGTAATATACTTTGAGCATTTTAATCATGAAATAATAATACAAAATTAAATTTGAGCTCACGTTGGTATAGTAAGCTGCAAGGTGCACATCCTACTGATGCCCCACCCAAATATTACCGTGCCCGAACGGAGGGGCATACGCCCTAACGTTAGGGCATGCGCCCCATGTTGGGAAACATTGTCATATTTGGAGATTAAAATGGCTACGTATTATGTCCAGTAACAAGTAAAACTCATTGAGTTCTTTTATTCCAGTCAAAGATCAATTATCAAATTCAGAGAAAATATCGCCAATATTTTAATGTCAGAGTATCTCCCAGCGATAACAGTATTAGGGAAATAATCGCCCGCTTTGCAAGAACGGGATAAAAACGTATAGAAGTTGGTGATGTCGCTGTGAATTTGAGTGTAATTTAGCGTTCCTCCCATGAGACCAAGTATATTATTTTTTTCTTTTTTAAATCGTAAGTTATATCTCGTGCCTGATGAGTTGGTAAAACAACGAAATTTAAGTTGCACACCAAACGTAGGTATATGTATATTTATTAATATTTCATTATTTTCTTAGGGGTACAAAATTTTATTATGGAAATAAAAACGGCAAGACGAGTTTTATCATTCATGATTAAAACGAAAAAAAAATTGACCAGCCGACCGGTTTCACCCTCAATCAACAGAGCTGAAATCGAGGGAAGACTAAATATTGCAATATAAAATGTAAAACATAAGCATGTGATGAAATAAAGGTGAGAATATCAGATGTCAAGCCCTAACAGACATTCCCTTTATTTACAGAGGGAAGGCTGCTCGGACTTGACATACATCGTTTCCAATACCTTTAAATACAGAATGAGCATGACTAAGGATGGAAAATGAGTCAATGCTGAAATTTGTGGCACAACTTGGATTGTTTAGAAGGTGCTCAGCAATGACGGAGCAGTATGTGTTCTTGACCTTGTCACCAGATTGGAACGTACCATTCCTAATTCTTCAGGGTACGTGTTGATTTATGCGTACGTCTAACCGCAAGGTATTTCTACCTATGTAGCCGGCTCCGCAACTACATCCAATTCGGTATAATTCATTGTTAATATGGTGGGGAAACAGAACACCCTTTCCAGCAGACACCCAAGGAGACCTGGTAGATAAAACAACACGCACATTGGCGGAAAATTAGCAAAAAAGAAATAGCAAAAATAATATTTATTAATATATATTTCGTAACTCTGACTAACCACAT